AAGCTCTCTGGGGACTCCTGGGGCTCCCAGGGTCCGAGGGATATGTAACATGAGGTCTTCTGGGCCCCCAGGCTGGACCACCTCTTGCGCGGCATCTGGGAGTTCAGAGTTGCGAGAATGTCTTGTGCGAAACGGGCCGGACCACCTTGCGCACGGCATCTCAGAGCTCAGAGTTGCGAGAATGTCTCAGGCGAGACGGGCCGGACCACCTCGCGCAGGGCATCTCAGAGCTCAGAGTTGCGAGGATGTCTCAGGCGAAACGGGCTGGACCACGTCGCGCGCGGCATCTCCGAGGTCAGAGTTGCGAGGATGTCTCAGGCGAAATGGGCTGGACCACCTCTTGCGCGGCAGCTCAGAGCTCAGAGGTTTGAGGATGTCTCAGGCGAAACGGGCCAGACAACCTCACGCGTGGCATCTCAGAGCTCAGAGTTTCGAGGACGTCTCGCGCGGACCACCTCTCGCGCAGCATCTCGGAATGTAAAAGTGCGAGGATGTCTCAAGTGAAACGGGCCGGACCACCTCTTGGGCGGCATCTCGGGGCTCAGAGTTTGGAGGATATCTCAAGCGAGACGGGCTGGACCACGTCGCGCGCGGCATCAGAGAGCGCAGAGCTGCGAGGATGTCTAAGGCGAAACGGGCCAGACCACCTCGCGCATGGCATATCAGGGCTCAGAGTTTGGAGGGTGTCTCAGGCGAAACGGGCCGGACCACCTCTTGCGCGGCATCTCGGAGCTCAGAGTTTCGAGGATGTCTCAGGCGAAATGGGTTGGACCACCTCTTGCGCGGCATCTCAGAATTCAGAGTTTGGAGGATGTCTCAGGCGAAACGCGCCGGACCACCTCGCGCACGGCATCTCAGAGTTCAGAGTTTGGAGGATGTCTCAGGCGATACGGGCCGGACCACCTCTTGAGCGGCATCTGGGAGCTCAGAGTTTGGAGGATGTCTCAAGCGAGACGGGCCGGACCACCGCTCGCGCGGCATCTGGGAGCGCAGAGTTTCGGGGATGTCTCAGGCGAAACGGGCCGGGGCACCTCTTGAGCGGCATCTGGGAACTCAGAGTTTGGAGGATTTCTCATGCGAAACGCCCAATCCCGGACAACTCAGAAACTAGAGTTGCGAGGATGTCTCAGGCGAAACGGCCCGGACCAGAAAATTTTGTTGAGGACGTCTCTGCTTTAAATTCCCTCGGCCGGAGTTAGTTTTTTCAAAACAGCACCCCGTTCTGCAAGCTGTTTGGGGAATAAGGAATTCAATGAGATTGGCCTCTTCGACCTTTCCTGGATGCCCTCTTGGGGGCCTCTTTGGGCTGTCTTGGAGACCTGTGGCCATCTTCGAGCCATCTTGGGCCATCTTGATGGTCTCCTGACCCGTCAGAAGCCGTCTTGAGGGCCTCTCTGGGCCGATTTGGGGCCTTCTTGGTTGGCTCTCTTGGGACAGTCTTGGGGGCCGTTTGGGCCGTTCTGAGGTCCTCTTGGAGGTCTCTTGGGCGATCTTGGGGCGACCTTTGGGGGCTCTTGGGCCGTGTCGGGCCGTCGGAAGGCGAACAGAAGCAGATGTCAAATCCGTAAAAACAGACGATGACAACGAATGATGTTGGCCTCTTCGGGCCTTCCTGGAGGCCCTCTTGGATGCCGCTTGGGCCGTCTTGGAGACCTCTTTGGGGGCCTCTTGGGCTGTCTTGGGCCATCTTGGAGCCATCTTGGGCCGTCTTGGTGACCTCCTGGCCCGTCTGACATCCTCGGAAGCCGTCTTGAGGGCCTCGCTGGGCCGACTTGGGGCCCTCTTGAGTTGCTCCAGGGCCGTCTTGGAGGCCATCTTGTGCGTTTGGAAGGTCTCGTGGGCCGTCTTGGGGCCTTCTTGGGGCAGTCTTGGGGGCCTTTTGGGTCGTTCTGGGGCCATCGTGGAGATCTTTGGGCGCTCTTGGGCCGTCTCGGGCCGTCGGAGGACCGAAGAGAAGCAAATACGCAAATCCTTCAAACACCTAAGGAAAATGCATGATGTTGGCCTCTTCGGGCGTTCTTGGAGGACCTCTTGGATGCCTCTTGGGCCGTCTTGGAGGCTTCTTGGGGGCCTCTTGGGCCGTCTTGGGCCATCTTGAGGGCCATCTCGGACCATGTTGGAGACTTCTTGGGCGGACTTGGAGGCATCTTGGACCCTCTTGGGCCGTCTTGGAGGCCATAGCTGACCAGCTTTGGCGAACTTGGAGGCCATCTCGGGCCATCTGAGCCGTCTTAGAAGCGCCATTTTGGGCCATCTTAGGACGGGAAGGGCATTGACATACACATTTTGCGGTCCTTTCCGGGTGGCCGGCCGGACGGGCCGAAGCCCCAGGGGGGTTCTTTTAAGAAATAAATGCAGTCGGGGCGTTGACCTAAGGAATTCGAAATAAGGAACGAGGCCCCTTTTTTCCATAATTTCAACTTCGATTTCCTATGGAAAACCTCAGGAAAACCCGAGGCAAACTTTGAAAGAATCAAGGAACACCGAGCCCCTCCCCAACGAAAAGGGTTCCTTCTTCAGGGCCCCGACTGTAAGACCGTAGGATCTAGCACGCCAGGCACCCTTGTGACAAGCACAGGGGGCGGCGGATCACATGGCCTTCGGCCGATCCCGCCACCGTGCCTGGGTTGCGGGTCATAGGCCTCTTGGATCTTCGTTGGGATGTCGCGGTAGGCCGCTCGGGGGCCTCTTGGGGGCCGTTTTGAGGCATCTTGAGGGCCGTCTTGGGCGCCTCTTGGACCTTATCGGGGCCGTCTTGGCGGTCTTTTGGGTCGTCTTGGGGGGCTCTTGGTGGCCTCCTGGGCTGTCTCCGAGCGTCGGAAAAGCCGAAGAGGCGAGAAGGCCAAAAACATCCGCGACTAATGGAAATACCATGATTTGGGCCTTGTGGGGCCTTCTTCGGAAGACTCTTGGACCCCTCTTGGGGCGTCCTTGAGGCCTCTTGGACCGTCTTGGGGCCACCTTGAGCGTTTGGGAGCGATCTTTAGGCGTCTTGAAGCCCTCTTGGACCATCTTGGCAATCTCTGGGGGCTATCTTGGCCCGTCTTGGGGCCCTCACGGGCTAGAACAAGTCACGTGGGGAGATGCAGGAAGCCCCCAACAGGCCGCGAAGTCCAAGGAGATTCGTGAATTCGGGGTCAGGGCTCACTCGGAACCCTAAGGATCAGTAAGGATCGAGGATTGAGGTTCAGGGGATGAGACAATGGACCTGCGGACACGCCCACTCGTGCCCAGCGGTACGGTGGCGGATGTGTTTCCGATGCTTCTGGCATTCTTCAAGGCTCAACATGCGGTCGTTCTTTCTAGGTTTCGCTTATGACTTCGGGAGAGATGTTCGTCTTCTGTTGATCTTGCTTCGCTCCAAGAGAGGGTTCCGATGGATGTTGGTTTGGCCTCGGCGTTTGACCATCTAATTGTGCTCCATGAGCTCTCGAGGCATGGATTAGGGATACACGACAATATCGTTCTCCGAATCGAGGGTACATTCGCGGCCAGCGCACTGAGCACTGGCGTGTCAGAGTTGCGTACTGATTGCGTCGTGGCTCTCCTGGCCTGAGTTCCAGCCCCCAGAGAAGCTGGTGCTTCTAGGACCCTGGCCCTCCAGCTGCAGAGGGTGCGGCAGGCGCCTTCGGGGCCTCACCATACCTGGTCTCCCAAGGCCCCCGCCGTGCTCCAGGGGCGGCCAGCCCTCGCCACCGCAGGGGTCCTGGGCACAGAAAGCGCAGCAGCCGTACGGGGTTCTCACCACCTCTGGCTCTCCAGGTCCAGACCGCCAAGTGCGACACGGACACGCGGTGCTCACCGTTGCTCGAGCTCCGGGTCCAAACGGCGCGGCAGAGGCGTCTTGGGGAGCATCGCCGTTCGGGGCCTCTCCCGCCCCAGGTCCAGGGTGCGGCCGGGCCTAGCCGAGCTCCAGAGAGTGTGGCAGCGGCATCGGGTGATCAACATGCTGGGCCTGCCTCTCGGGTCCAGACAGCGTGGCAAGGGCAACATGCACCATTCAAGATCTCCTGGTCAAGGCAGAACTATAGGAGCATCGGGTCATCGTCTGTCTTGGTTCTTCATGTCCAAAGTGTGGTGATGTAGGAGCCTCGCCATGCCAGGCCAGGTTTCCAAGGTCCGAAATCTCACGGAACACGGGCATCTTACAATTGGCGTTGTTTGCTATGGTAGCATCGTGCTTCAAACAGTGTGGGGCCTCTCCCGATCCCTCCTGGGGCGTCTCTTGGGGCCTCGTGTGCGCATTCTGAGGGTTTGGGGGGCTTCGTGGACTGGTTTTCGGGCTTCTTGGGCCGCCCAGCCCGCTTGCTGAGGCCACTCGACTTCCCTCCGGGCCGTCGTGGGGACAGTTTTCGGCCATCAAGCGGATCTCTCGGGCCGTCTTGCTCGCCTCGGGGAGTCCACTTGGATATAGAGTTATCGGGCACCCGCGCTATTTCGTCTCCGCCCTGCGTCTGTGATCGCACTTGCCATGTCTCGACATACCTGGGATTTGTCGCTGCCCCGGGTACAACCAGCCGTTGTGGCTCAAGTGTGCCGGCCACTCGCTGGCGCTCGCTAGTTGAATTGTCCCCCGAGGGGGGGGGCCTCCGCTCGGCCACCATGGAGGGAGTGGGATCCTCCGCTTGGACATTCTTCCAGTCCCTTCAGAACTTGGGGGCCTTTGCTTCCCCTGCAGACAGGGCCGCTCAAGCCGGGGGTGCACGTGCATCAAGCATCACCCAGGATTCGTTTTTCTTGGAGGAGAGCCCCGCCGAAAGGGACAAGCACATCTGCGAGCAGCTGGATCACTTCCAGCTGCTTCTGGAGTACGAGCGGCTCAAGGAGATCCAGCCCCCCGGGATGTACGTGCTGCCCTCGTTCGATTCCGTTTATTCGTGGCACGGGACCATGTTCGTCAGGCAGGGTTTCTACCGTGGCGGGGTGTTCAAGTTCAAACTCGAAATACCCGAAAATTACCCCGATCGGGCGCCAGACTTGTTTTTTACATCGGAGGTGTTTCATCCCATCGTGGAGCCGAGCACGGGACGCGTCGACCTGGGTGTGTTGTGGCCTGATTGGCCCGAATGGGAGGTCAGGCGCGAGTTCGCGTCATTCGCCCTTCCATTCTTGCACAAGATCATGCTGCGCGAGGAGTACTTCGTGCAGCGAGAGAGGCCAGCTCTGAACCAGGAAGCACTCGGGCTCTTCGCTTCTGACCGGCCCGCATTCGTTGAGCGGGCTCGACTGTGCGCCAATCTGACAGCGGGCAAGACGTATGTCAACACGAATTTCTCGCTACAGTTCACGAGAGGCCCCGAAGAGGCCCACGATGAGATCCTTCAAATGTTGAAACCCATCGGCAACGGCGAGGATCTGGAGGACAGAAAGGCCCGCTTCTTCAGCTGGTTCAGCGGCCAGTACTCCCAGATGCGTCCTGCCGTGGAGGTTTCACAAGATGGGCCAGAGACGATGCTAATCGACAGTGTGAAGCGTTCGCCGCGCGGCCGGGAGACGAGCGCAGACTCCGCAGCAGCGCCGTCAGATTGAAGGTATGCTGAAAAACTTGAGCGATGTAATCTTCGAGGCGTCAAGGTCATGCATCCCATTTGTGGTACATTACAAGCGCGTGTAGACATGCACACCAGCTTCGGAATCGACACCGCATCAGCGATGCATTTCCTCGGAGGCTGAGAAAGAGTGAGAATACTTACTCCCAGCCTGCGCCCTACGGCAGCACGGAACTGAGGAGGTTCGCTAGCATCCAGAAAGCCGCACGCCAGTATGGCCCAATGACTTGATGGCTCTGAGAACATATTCTCGGAACTTCGGGGAAATAGCATTGCAGCATTCGATGTTGATGCTCCTCTTCCTCGCTCTTATCCTCCTCCTCCTCCTCCTCCTCCTCCTCCTCCTCCTCCTCCTCCTTCCCCCTCGGCGCGCACCGAACCCGGGGCGGCAGGGGTCAGCTCCAGCTCGGCTCCGCCAACTTCGACGAGAGAAGGGGCATGCTGTGGCTCGACGAGGACGAGGCGGGAACGCGCCACCTCCCTGGGAGGAGTCGCAGCGAGGGCCTGGCGGGGAGGGAATCGGTCTTGGGCTGGATTGCTCCTCATGTGGATGCATCCCGCTACGCCCAGGGGACCTGTCGGTTCTGTGCAGAGGGCCTGTGATGTCTGAGCGGTTTACGTGACCATGTTCTTAGCGTCTGGACCTCGGAATCTCTTGAAAACAAAAACACAAGTTTGCATCCGCACGATCATAGTATGTGTGCTATCAATGCATGTGCATGTTTATGTACATGCATATATACGTATTTATATGTATGTATATGTATGTATGTATATGTGTATACATATCTATATGTGTGTATGCGTGCGTGCGCCGACCATGGCTTCATTTAACACATCATATACAATAATGTCGCATAGAGCTTTGCATAGCATGTCATGTAGCATTGCGAAGCGAATAGCAACGCATCACACAGCATAACATTGCTGTTCCCTTGCTTGTGTGTTGCATTGTTTCTGCAGTGCCTGACACTATTTTTGCGTTGAATTGTGTTTGTGTTTGTATTGTGTTTGAGCTGATGTTGCATTGCATTACTTGTGTATTGTTATTGGTATTGTATCGTGTTGCATTGCTTTTGCATTCATTGTGCCGTGCATGGTGTTGCTTTTCAATTGGCTTCCAATTGTGTTCCAATGCATTGTGACGCGTTGAATTGTAATGGCGCCCAGATTAGCTTCGTTGTGCAATGCTCTTCGCTGTGCAATTGGCCAGGATGCTGTCCGCAGGGGGGTCTGGGGATCAGTTCTGAGGCGGGTGCGGGGCCTCTGATGATCGCTTGGCCCCCTCGTCTCCTCGACAGCCTCCGGGGGGCTGGTTCTGGTGTCCAGCCACCGCGCACGCGTGTGGGGCTACGGTAGGTTCGCGTCCTGTCGACTGGTGGCGACCCCGCTGCTGGCTTTCAACGTTGAACGCCGCTGGCAATCCAGAATCGGTCGATGTTTAACGATCTGACGTCTCGGAAACGGCCGATCGTTCGAGGTTGAACGGTCCCCGCGGTGTCAGCAATCAACGCCGAACTCGGCACGACGCGAACCTTCCGCACTTCGCTGCGACAGGATGTTGCGGCTTCTGCCGGGAGCTCTGGCAGAAGGCCAGTCCAGCTTTTTCCTGGGTCGAGCTCTTCCTTGATGATAGTCCTGGTTGTGGGCCAGCCGCTGGGGCGCGAAGACAGCCTGGGCCTCGTGCAGAGGGGGGAACAGGGGGGAGGGGGGAAGGCTTCTTAGAAGCACCCCTGCTTCTTAGAAGGCGCGGGCCTTCTCTACAGATGTAGGGCCGGCGCATTCTAAGAAGCAGCCTCCTTCTCTCATTCTGAGGAGCCTTCCCCCCCCCAGACGCGAGAGGCTTGCTCCCCAGTGAGAGGGCTTGCTCCCCGGTGACAGGGCTCGCTCCCCAGTGGAAGTTGAAAAAGTTGCGAAGGAGTGTTCCCCGGCAGGAGGTTTTCAAGGAAGAGTTGCACGGATCAGCATTCCAACGACATTCCAAGAGCCGTGAAATTTGCATGGGTTACCGTAAGTGGGGGTCACTTACTCCTGTGCACATGTTCGAGAGAATGCTGCCGGGGAACGAGCTCTTCAAGAATGTGATGGATTCCATTCGGATTCTGTCGTGCTCAAAATCTTTTTCCAGTTCGAATCCTATTGCTGTCCTAACCGAATCATCCAGGGGATTCCTTCCAATTGGCGCTCTCTGGGGGTCCTATTGGAATCCCATTGAAATCCGATGGGAATCCAACGGGCATCGTAGTGGAAACCTAATCGAGTCCGATCGGGTTCTTTCCCATTGGCACTGTTTTGGGTCCCCGTTGGATCCTATCGAGATCCAATCGGATCCCATCTTATCGGGATCCTATCGAAGTCCGATTGAAAACATCTTGGAATCCAATGAGACGCCTCCCTGTCGAAATCGTGTTGTGTTCCCACCTGACCCCAGTCCGGCCCTTCGTGGCTTCGCGTTCAGGATGTCAACGAACTCCCGGGACATGCGTCGAAGCGCCCACCGTGGAGCCGACCTTGTGAGAATCTGTGTCGGAATCCAACTGGCGCGCCGGGTTCTTCGACCTTCCTCTGATTCCCTGAGGATTCCTCAGCGTGGTACTCCTATTGTATTCCTCTGACGCTCCGGTTCCAAAGTGTTTCAATTGTTGTCAAATTATCTTGTATCCCCATTGTTTTCCTTTTGCACCTCGTTCTTAATGCGATTATGTACCATCTGTGTTGTTGTAATACTACTATGTTCCTATTATATGCCTATTGCATTCCTAATGTATCCTAGGAAGCAACAGGAGCAGGGATATGCGACACCCTGGAATCCGTGCGAAACCATATACTCCTGGAAGGGAATCCGAAGAGTCTTAAGAATTCCTGGGGACCTCACAAATCCCAGAAGAATTGTTCGATCCATGAGGGAATCTTAAATCCTAGGAACTGCCATGTTCCGACCAAAAACAGAATTCTAAGAATTCCGATGGATCCGAAGAGTTCTACATTTTCCGATCCATTCCCATATTCCTATGAGGGAATGCGAGGCAGTCCATTCCCAGAATCCCAAGAGGAAATCCAGAGAACCTCGATTTCTGGGAGGGGGTCCTAAGAATCCTCGGAGTTCCTCGGAAACCGAGGAATTGCAATATCCCCAGGAGGGAATTCTAGGAATAAGAATTTCTCGGAATCTATCCCAGGAGTTGCCAGATTCCTAACTGGGAAACTTAGGAATATTTGCCATTCGTCGGAACCTGAAGAATTGCAGAATTCCGACGAGGGAATTTGAGGAATCCTCCAGGTTCCCCAGAACCCTAACACTTGCCAGACCCTTACATCATTTATGGTTCCCCTGAATTCTTTGGGATCTTAGGAATTGCCAGATTCCTGGGAGGGAGTCCTAGGAATCCTAAGGATTCTTCGGAGTTCTAGGAATCGCCAGATTCCGAGGAGGGAAGCCTAGGAATCCTCGGAACCGAAAGAACTGCCATATTCCCAAAAGGTGATCCTAGGAATCCTCGGATTTCTTCGGGACCCCAGGAATTACCAGATCCCTAGGGTGGAATCCAGAGCCTCGCAGAGGCCCCTCAGAGGCCTCTCCGGAGCCTCGCAGAGGCCTCTCAGGAGCCTCTCAGGAGGCATCCCAGGTGCCTTTCAGGAGGATTCTCAGGAGCCCCTCAGGAGGCCTCCCAAGAGGCCTCTCAGGAGCCTCGCAGGAGGCCTCTCAGGAGGCCTCCCAGGAGGCCTCTCGGGAGGTCTCTCTGGTGCCTCGCAGAGGCCTTGTTAGGAGCCTCGCAGAGGCCTCGTTAGGAGCCTCGCAGAGGCGCCTCACGAGCCTTGCAGAGGCCTCTCAGGAGCCTCGCAGAGGCCTCTTAGGAGCCTCGCAGAAGCCTCCTTGAAGCCTCGCAAAGGCTTCTGAGGGGCAGGTACAGGGCTCCTCACACCGGGGAAGTCTCACCGGGGAACTCTTTTAGCAGCTTCCACCGGGGAACGAGCCCTTTCACCGGGGAGCCATCCTTCCTCTCCCCCATACAGTGGGGGTGTGCATCAAGAAACCATGTGCTTTTTGTCAGGGTATCCTGGGTTTCTTCGCTCCGCCCGCTGCGCGGTGACTTCCCGCAGCCGTTGAAGAAGCTGCTGCGTTCAGGGCGCTCCCGGATTCCCCTCAGGGTTTCTTGCGAGGGTTTCTTGCGGCCGCGCCCTCATTGTACCCCCCTCTGCGCGCCGCCAAGCGATGATCCTCAGGACGTGCGTTAGCCCAGTGTGCTTCCTGGGTGGGCTGGGACGCTCACGCACGGACCTGCGTCCAGACGACTGCCTGCGCTGCTCGTTCCCTCGCCCTCCGCCGGGCTGCCCCGCGGCTCCGTGTGCGGCCCCGCCCTCGGGCTCGCCCTTCCCTCTCTCCTCCCTCCCTCTCTCCCTCCTGGGGCGGGCCTGCTTGAGCCGAATGGGATGGCAACGCTTCGGCACTGTCCGAAGGTCGGTTGCTGACCTAATCGTTTCTGCTGTCTCTGATCGTTCCCCTGAAGCGAATGTCAAAAAAAATCTCCCCCCCCTCGGCGCGGCGCCAACACCCGCCGGGGCGCGGAGCTGCGCGGTCTCGGCCGAAGAGCTGCTCGACTCTGGGGTGGGCGGCGCGGGGGCGCGGAGAGGCGGTGCCGCCGGGCACAGTGCGAGGGCGGAGGGTGGGCGACCGAGGGGAGCAGATCGGGAATGACGGAGGCGGGGAAGAGACGACAAAAAGAGGGAAGCACGAGCGAGAAGGGTCTCCGAGTCCCCCTCGCCATTCTTTTGCATCTTTCCCCCCCCCTCCCGGGGAGACGGGCAGCCTGCCACGTGGCAAGCGAATAAGCAGGAAAGCAGGCAAGCGAGCAGGCTCTTCATCTGTGCACTGTAGCTTGATATTTTGGCTTAGCGGCGAGGGGCGCAGTGAGTCCACACCCGGAGGTCCCAAGTCTCCCGAGGCAGGAAACTGAGAATCCGTGTGGTGATCTACGCTGCTGCCACTGTTGTGCCACGTTTGCCACTGTCGTGAAGCAAGGAGAAGGAGGGGAAAAACACACAGACACAATCAATCGCCGATTCCCATGAAAATATGGGAAAATATGGGAAGTGGGGGGCGAAGACAAGAACCAAGAAAATATGGGAAAATATTGGGAATCATTTTATTTGTGTGTATTTATTTGTGTGTCCCAGGGCCCCTTCAAAGGAGAAAGAAGAGCGAGCGGGAAACAAATGTCGAAGTCGCCTTCGGCGAACCACCGCCGGCCCCTGCTCACCAGAAACGCGGATGCGGCCAAACGTTGGGCCAAAGTCCGGCCAAGCTATTGGACTAAGCACTGAGCGTTTCCCCCGCCGCTGTGGAAACCCTTGGGGAGCCATATGTGGGGGACGAGAAAGGAGGACGAGAGGGAGTAGAAGGAAGAGGAGGAGGAGGAGGAGGAGGAGGAGGAGGAGGAGGAGGAGGAGGAGGAGGAGGAGGAGGAAGGAGGAGAGTAAGAGGCCTCTCGGGGCCTCCTGGGGGGCTTCCTGGGGGCCTCTTGGAGGCCTCCTGGGGCATATGTGGGGCCTGTTGGGGTCCTCTGGGGGGCCTCTGGTGTCCTCTGGGCGCTCTGGGAGACCTTTCTGTGGAAAACGAAACAAAACAATCGTATCATCATCCCCCTTCTCCTCCTGGAACTCCAAGTCCCCCCTCGTCCTTCTTCTTCTCATCCTCCTCGCCCCCCTACCGGGGAGACGGTTTCCCGACCTTGCTTGGCAGAAGGCGATTCGCCGCCGTGGTGGTCTTGGCCGCTAGTTTTTCCATACGCTGCTTCTCGGTGCCAGAGTTTGCTCGCTGCCTGGTGCTGGTGCTGCTGCTTTCGGCACCGCAGATGGGCCATCGCCCCCGCGACTCATGCCTGAAGCCCCCACCCTCCCGGCCGGATTTCTTTTCTTCCCTCCGCGAGGGGTCCACTTTCGCGGCGACCCGTTTAACCTGGGACTCCTGGGGGCGCACGGATGCTTGAGTACGCTTAGTATTTGAGTACACGTGGTACCATTATGAGGAGTTTAAGGAAGCAGCATAGGCCCGTGACTTGGGCTTAATTAAGGAAACACTATGGGATCGCGACTTGGGAGTTCGGCAGCATAATATAACAAGAAGACAGTATTTAATGTCGATTTCGCAAATAGGACACACTGCAGCGTGCAAGAAATATTGGTACAATTCCTGCGGCTAAGAGTTCGCTCTTCTTCCCGACGTTTAGGCAGGGATATATTCCCGTGTTCGAACCTTTCGCCAAGGATTTCTTTCTCCCGCGGAAGCCGGACCCCCCAGGCTCCTTGGCGCGCCCCGTGAATGCTTTCATTCCGGATGGCCCCTCATGGGTCCTAGGTTTGTGGAGGACGATCAATGGAGAGGAAGCGTGTTGCCGAATAATTTCCAGATGTCTAAGACATGTCTTAAACATGATTTACACATGTTTTAAACATGCTTAAAACATGTTTAAAACATGTTTTCCGACATTTTAAACACATCATAAATTCAATGATAGGACTGTTAGGGTGTCCATTGTCGTGGCATGGATAATCCTAGGTTGGAGTCGCCCGGGTGACCGACCTTCGTGGCGCTGCCAGCGCTGGTGTTGTTGCCACGGTTGGAGGAACACTTTATTGCATCAGCAGCGCTCCGACGACAAAGAACCGAATTCCCCCCCTCCCTCCACCCCCGGGGCCTTACTATTGGATTGCATCGCGATCGAGATCTTGGGTTCAGATTTTTTCCAGCCGCTCATCTCTGGGGCCAACTGCTCAATATTAAGGCCAGGGGGGTGCGGAGAGGGGTATTCGAAGTGGTCCCTCAACTCTCGATGCAAAGTTTGTTCCTTCAACGGTATTGTTGGTGATTCTAATGGTAATCCACATCCTGTCGCCGCCTCACTGTCAGCCATTGCCTCCCCAGTTGACGTGGCTGCGCAAGCGTTTGGAGTACGAGGCGAAGGCCAGGGGTGGGATTTGTGAGAAGGGACGAAGGAGCGTACGATCGAAATGTCAATCGAGGTTGGGGGAGCATCAGGATGGGGCAACTGCCGAGGATGGAGCGACCAGACAGCGCGGTCCAAGCGAAGACGACGAGGGAATTTGCAAAGTAGGGTCAAGGGCTTCAGCGTGTTATTTCGTTGCCAGCCAACCCGATCTGTCAGACATCCAGAGCGCAGATCCCGAGTTTGAACGAGATACATCACACGCGTGCACGAAGACAAATGCGTCTAACATCTAGGCGCGCACGTCATATTCACGGCTTCCTCCTGGTCGTTGGCTCATATGGTTCGGAGTGTCCAGATCTTATTTGTTTTGGGAGTTGCTATGGTTATTTTGGTCTGCGGAGTTCTACGTAGTGGAGTTTTCTTGGGGACCCATCTGGTCCTCTCGATTGTTTTGCGTTGACCATCGGGTACGAGTCGCGTTTGTAGTGTTGAGCGTTTGAATATTGTCACAAGCTGCGCAGGCAACGCGCGCGGAGATGAAGACCAGGTCTAAGCCGAAACGACCTTTTTCAGTCATGTGGCGGTGGTTGTGATGCCGATGCTATAATGCACCAAACTCTGTCGCGACTTCTTGCGAAGAGCAGAGCTGGGCGAGATTCACAGTGTATCATGCCCCGGAGGTCCAGTCCCACGTGGCTTCAGGGAGAGAGTTTTTGGGGGGGAGCCAGCTAGGAACACTTGAGGCAGGGCTCTGGTTGCCCAGAGGCATACGTGTCAGGCCTGGCTAGAGCTGGCCTTTGGATGCTTCCCTGGTCTTTTGTGTCTAGTGCCCTGCGGCCCATTCCACCTTCGTACCTTGTGAGCGTCCGCGGGGTCTCCGCGGGGGCCCGCCGGCGGTTGAGACCAGCTGAAGCTGGCCGGTGGGATTCCAGACGCGAGGAATTGGAGGAGGAGGAGAAGGAGGAGGATGAGGAGGGAGGGAGGATGAGGAGGGAGGAGGAGGAATAGGCGGATGAGGAAGGGTAGGAGGAGGAGGAGGAGGAGGAGGAGGAGGAGGAGGAGGACAAGTGGAAACCCAAGACTCATCGACGGTGTTGGAATTATCCCAGTGCGACCCTACCTAGGAGTTAGAGCCCCTAGGAAAGCAGCATAAGCTAAGCTAAGCTAAGCTAATATAGCTAAGCTAAGCTAGGCTAAGGTGATATAAGCTAAGCTAAGTTAAGTTAAGCCAAGCTAAGCTAAGTTAAGATGAGATAAGCAAAGCTAAGATAGCCGAGCTAAGCTAAGGCAAGATAAGGTAAGCTAAGCTAAGCTAAGCTAGGCTAGACTATGTTAAGTTAAGATTAGATGCACTAAGCTAAGCTAAGGGAAGGTAAGCTAGGCTAAGCTAAGCTAAGATGAGATAAGCTAAGCTAAGCTTAGCTTAGCCAAGCTTAGCTAAACTAAGCTAAGCAGGGGCGCAACTGGGGGAACCGCGGGGCAGATGCCGGGGGGACCGCGGGGCGGATCCTGGGGGAACCGCCCTGGGCGAGCCCCACTGCCCGGCCCCTTTAAGCAAACACAGTAAGAACCCTTCTAGGCAGAGCCTAGGTAGGGAATAAACCTTCTCTCCAAGCTCCCTCTTCATAGGCCCCTAGAAAGGTTTATTTCCACTGGGGGAATCGCCTCGTTGGGAAAGAACCGTTTGAAGACCCTGAAGCGTGCCAAAACCATTCTCGGGACCCCAACGCCACGAGTCAACGCCACGATCCTGAATGCTGCAAGAACGCGATTCCTGGGACTTCAACACCGCGAATCAACATTATTTTTGCACCCTCACAATCTTGAGTCCTTCTAAAATGCAAGTTTTACACGATGACCATAGAAATCCGCGAAACTCTTGTATTCTAGAAACGAATGTGCGCGGCGCTTAAGGCGAGAGTCACATTTTGAAAACGAACCGCCCTCAATCCGCGAAGCTCTTGTAATCTCTTGAAACGAGTGTGCGCGGCTTTATGGCGAGAGCCACATTTTGAAACCACCCGCCCTCAATCCGTGAAGCTTTTCGAGGGCCACATTTTGAAAACCACCCGCCCTCAATCCATCAAGCTCTTACAAGATTTTAAAACGACTGTGCGCGGCGCGAAGACGAGAGCCATATTTTGAAAACCACCCGCCCTCAATCCGTGAAACTCTTGATGTTTAGTAACGAATGTGCGCGGCGCCAAGGCGAGAGCCATATTGTGAAAACCACCCGCCCTCAATCCGTAAAGCTCTTGCATTCGACAAAAAATGCACGCGGCGCTGAGGCGAGAGCCACATTTTGAAAACCACCCGCCCTCCATTTGTGAAGCTGTTGTCGTCGTCTAAGCTTCAGGGTCGTAAATGGTGAGTATCTCTCAGGCGAAACGCCAGGCCCTCCTTTTCAACCGGCCTCGGGGTGCGACAGGGAGGAGGTATTCGTAAAGAGAATAATGGAGAAGGAGGAGAAAGAGGAGGAGGAGTAGGAGGAGGAGGGCGAGCAGAAAGGCCAGAGGCCTCTTAGGCGCCTCTTGGAGTCTCTTCGGATGTTTTTTTTCGAGAGTTTCTTACAGTCTTCTTGGGGCGTCTTGGGGGTCCGGGCAGTCCCAGGGGCCTCTTGGGGAGTCTTGGGTGCCTCTGAGGGGCGTCTTGGGGCCTCCAAGGGGTCTCTCGGGAGCCTCTTGGGAAAATCTTGGGGGTCTCTTGGGGCCTCGGGGCCAGGGCCATCATGGAGGAGCTCGATCAAAGAAGGGGAGCTCCCATATTCTTGTCTCCCCCACAAGAGGCCGAAATGGGCTCAAAACCTAGAGGCCATCTCGGATGCTCCAACGCCTTGCGAAAATGCCCCGTCCAGGTCCAGGGGAATGGAGTAGGGGGAAGGATCAAGACCCCCTCCCTGCCCGCAAGCCGTCTCGCTCACTCCCACCCGCCCTCCCAACACATACGTAGCACCCGAGTCTGGCCCGAGCCTCAGCATATTCAGCAGTCGTCTTTGGATCGGCAGCTACTGGGGGCCAATTCGCCGCCGCCGCCGCCGACTCCGCCGCCGCCGCCGCCGCCGCCGCAGCCGCCACCGCCGCCTCCGCCGCCGCCGCTGCCCGCCGCCGCCGCCGCCGCCGCCGTTGCCGGCCGCCGCCGCCTCCGCCGCCGCCGCTCCCGCCGCCGCCGCCGCCCCCGCTGCCAAATCACCGCCGCCGCAGCCGCTGCCGCCGCAGCCACTGCCGCCACCGCCGCCGCCGCCGCCGCCTCCCGCCGCCGCCGCCGCCGCAGCCGCCGCAGCCGCCGCCGCCGCCGCATCCGCCGCCGCCGCCGCAGCCGCCGCCAAGTGTATTCTGCATTGTTTTTTTGACAGGGATGGTGGGGAGGTCGCATCGGGTTGGCTGCGCATGCTCCGAATTTGGAGGCAGATTGTGTTTTGTATGGTTTTTTACAAGGGATGGTGGTGGGGGTGCCCTCATGGTTCCTGGTTGGCTACCAGTCGCCTGGGGGAGGGGGTGTTTACTAATAGGGAGCAGTGAGAAGCCCCACGCCGAAAGGGAAGAAGGGGGTTGGAAGAGGACCCCCCCAAAACGATTCACTCCCCAAAAAGGTCGGTAGGATTCACACCCACATGCAGCAGGGGAGTGCACGCGCGCACGCGCGCGCGAGCGCGCGCCATTCGTTCCTCCCACGCGGCGTGACAAGCGTGGAAGCGCGCACGTAGTAGCGCCCATACGAGTCTCACCCACATGAGCGTCTTCTATCCGCGCTCCATCTCGGCGCTAATTACTAGATGCTTGTGGTCCAGCTTTCCTTTGCAAAGTGCTGATGAAGCATTGGGATACCATCGGGCCCGAATATGCAACGCACAGCACATGAGAAATGAACGGCCGCGCGACCTGTCCAGAATTCCTGCGCTCCACTGCCGCACGCGCAGCACCCTAAACGGTGCATATGTTCGGGAGTGGCTCGTGCCTCGTGCCGACGAGGCTTCGGGAGTCTTCTCATCTGCTTTCTGATTCCGCGGCGACAGGGCAGCGGCTTCCCGAGAGGCAGCAATGGCTCCTTGTGCAAGCAGCCCATCCTTCTCAACTGACCTCTCGGCGCTCACCCCTGCCACGCCACCCTTCGCTCACAAGTTGCCCTCGCCTCTGCGCTCGCCGCTGCCGCTCTGCCTCCTCGTCCGCACACTGCCTCTCCTCTGCCCCAGGGGTGGACCTAAGCGGTGTTTTGGCGATTTCGTGGGCCGTTTCCGTTTCGATTTCGGTTTGCGTCAAAGGCGGATTGAAGAGGAAAGCGACAACAAAACGAAACCTTCTGACGCTGCCCTCCTCTCTGCCGCCTGCTGCTGGCGCATGCCTTACGCTCGCGAGCGCGAGGCCCGCGGGCGCACCCGTGCGAGGCGCGTGCGCTCACGCAGAGAGAGGGCCAGACCTCGGCGTCGGCACATTCGATCAAAGGCAGAAGAGGCGTATCTGTTCGGTTGGTGGCGTCCCAGTTCGCTCGCTCGCCTCCGCCGCTCCGCTCGCTCTCCCGTCGCCCCCGAAGCGGGAGCAGGAGCACATGCTGCCCCTGACCCTGACGGTGACGGTGCCGATCGAGCCGGACGCCCCGCCGGCGAGCCCACGACGACGATCGTCGCCGTCATCGCCCCCACAGGAGGGCGAAGTGGAAAGAGGAGAAGGAAGAGGACGAGAAGGAGAAAGAGGAGGAGGAGGATCAGGTGAAGGAGAAGGAGGAAGAAGAGAAGGAGGAGGAGGAGGAGGAGGAGGAGGAGGAGGAGGAGGAGGAGGAGGAGGAGGTTGAGGATGAGGAGGAGGAGGAGGAGGAGGAGGAGGAAGGAGGAGGACAGAGGAGAAGGTGGAGGAGGACGAGGAGGAAAGAGAAGGAGGGGGAGAGTGGGAAAGGGAAGGCGAAGCGGAAGGGGCAATCGACGGGGAGTCGAAAGCCGAGGGGGAAGGAGAGGGAAGAGGGGAGGGGGAGGGGAGGAGAAAAACGGACGGAGACGGAGACGGGGCGGGGAGGGCGGAGGGAGGAGGAAAGGGGCGACGGGGAGACAGAGAGAGAGGCGGGGGGGACAGGAGTGACGAATGGACGGGGAGGGGGGCGGAAGGAGCGACGCTGGGGAGGGGGTGAAGCAGGAGCAGGAGCCGCACTGGGTTGGCCACTTCGGTCCCGACCTCAGCCACGGTCGGATAGGCGGAGTGAGCATCACGCCCGCCTCTGCGTCTCGCCGTAGGGGGTCCATCGCCGAGTCGAGAAAGCCGCGCGGACCTCCGAGTTTTTATGTTTATGTCATCGTTCGTCCGCCTAAGCACGCGATGCGCTTGCCTGCGAGCGCAACGTGCCCATACGGAGGTCGCCGCGCTCACACCCAGACTCTTCAACGGTCGGCGCGCGCATGGCAAGCAAGTCCACTCGCGCAGGTGCTGCGCGCACGCGGCGGCCAAGGCGCTGGGGCAGTTTGGGCCAGTGCGGGGCAGCCTGTGCGGTTGCGAGCCGAAGCACGGTGGGTTCGCGTCGTGTCGACCGGCGGCGACCCCGCCGCGGGCGTTCAAGGTTGAACGCCGCCAGTGGCCCAGGATCGGCCCAATATGGAACGATCTGGCGATCGAAAGGCCGCCGACCGTTCAAGGTTGAACGTTCCACGCGGCGTCAGAAACCAGCGCTGGGGTCGTCACGGCACGAACCCGCCGTATGGTGGGAGGGCGGTTGAAGGCGATGGGGGCAGAGAGGGGGGGAGGGAGGGGGTGGTGCAGCGCGCAAAGAGCGGCGGTGGCAGGAGGCAGCCAGGCTTGTGAGACAAGCGCGGGAGTGCCGTGGGTTTGCCTGGGATCGGGCAGAGGCGGGACGCTGGTCAGCCACTCGGCTGTCCACCTCAGGGACGGACGAGGTTCCTTGGGGTGAAGCTGGTAGTTCCGAGGCTGCGTGGTTGTCCGAAAAGAGTGCGGGCGGAGCTCTCGCTGACAGTGGCTGTCAGTACATCCATCCATTCACATAGATATGCGCCCGTGCACGCATGCTTGCTTTTCGCGGGAGGCGATGGGCTGATGCGAGACCCCCCGCGTGTATGCCCAATCACAGCGCTTGCACAAACATTTAGAATAACGCATATTCACTTGTGCACGGACGCCTCGCAAGCACACGCATGTCTAGATGCATGTTCAGGCACCCGTGGGCATGGCGACGGTATTACTGGAGAGCGCCTGCGTTGATTTTGAAATTTGGCGTGAAGATGTTCAGTATCCAAGGTCTGTCGTGGCGCATGCTTGCGAACGCGCGCGCGTTCGAAAGCGCGTATGCCTGCGCTTCCGCGTGCGCGTTGTTATTCTGGAAGCCTTTCGGTCAGCCCTGCGGCGCCACGGATGTGGCTGTCGGCAATCGTCACGCGCTCCCAGAGAGAGAGAGAGAGGCAGAGACAGAGACAGAGACAGAGACAGAGGGAGAGGGAGAGAGAGGGACACACATCGATGTATACGCATACATATATATATATATATATATATATATATCGGAGTAGGCCAGGGGGGGGGGGGCCGGGCTGGTGCCGTACCCCCCAATGGGGGGATTGGGGGGGTCCCAGGGCTCCCGGGACTGCCCGGGCCCGCTCCCAAACACGCCACGACACGCCAAGAGGGCCCTAAAGATTGCCAAGACAGCCCCCAGAGGCCCCCGACACGCCGAAGATGGCTTCAGGACGGCCGAACGCCGCCAAAACGCCCCAAGAGCGCCTCCAGAGGCCCTTCCAAAGGGTCCCAGAAGCCGAAAATCATACATTTTCCAATGGTTTTTGAAGCGTTTTTGAACTCCCATGTTCCACCTCCCCACGGTCCCGGACGGCGTCAGAGGCCCTTCAGATCGCTCCAAGACGGCCGAAGAGGCTCCCAAGAAAGTGCAGAGACGGCCCAGGAGGCTCCCGAGATAATTCAAGAGGGCCTCGAGAGCGCCCCAAGAGAGCCCCAAGAGCGACCTAAGAGGGCACGAAGAGCGTGACATTTCGAGGTCTCTGGCCTGAGAGGCTCCTAGGACGCCCCCGGATGCCATCAAGAGGCTCCCAAGAAGCCCCGTGAGGCTCCCAAGAGGCCCCCCGGAAGCCCCAACAGGCCCCCAAGAGAGGCCCCCAGGGAAGCCCCCTGCGGGCCCCCAAGAGACCTCGGTAGATCGTATTTCCCAGGCAGCTTTCCAGGAACATGATTCCTTGGGCTTCCGCCCACCGCCCCAACCATGTTTCCAATAGGCTTGCCGACAAGGCCAAAAGGGGCCCCTCGGTAAGCCCCCAGAGGCCACCCTCTTAAGAGAGCCCAACACATCATGCTCCCGGAAAGCTTCCCGGGAACATGATTCTCAGGTTGCCGCCTTCTGCCCATACCATGTTCCCTAAACGCCTGCCAGGAAAATAAAACGAGAGACCCAAGCAGCGCTACCTGCCGCCACGTGCGGAAACGCGCCAGGCCTCGAAGCCTCCGGAGGCGCCCAACGACACCCCAACAAATCATCTTCCCAGGAAGCCTTGCAGGAACATGATTCCTCAGGCATGCGCCCCAGGCCCCAACCATGCGTCCCAAAATGCTTGCCGGGCCACCCCTCTCTTGGGTCGTCTTCGCGTCCTTGTGGCTGCCCCTGAAACCACCGTAGAAATCGAGATCCCATGATCCCACGAGTTGAAAAGTTTAAATTCTTTTTACTTCAAACTCACCACTTGTTTATTTTTGCACGAACGGACCGTGGCCTGTATCCAGAAAGATTCTAAGCCACAGCCCAGGCACGGCAACTTGAAGAAATAGGAATCACACAATTCCCTTTTTTCTCGTTCGCACCCTGTCTATTCTTGCACCACCGACCACAATTAAAGCCTCCCTCAGCTCCCAGAAAAGAAACCAGGAAGCATTTGAGGACCCCAAATCGTTGAATACCGAACGGGAATTAATGATTTCCGCGTTTCCGCAGTTCCCCTCCTATACGGTTGCGAGGCTTGCGCAGGGCCTCCAAGAGAGTCTTTGGATGCAAGAAGCGACAAAAATGAGAGTCGATGATTTAACCAATCAAGCCTAGATAGAACTTGAGCGCGCGCGAAACGCGCGCTATGGTTCTAGTATGTGTATATCTAAAGATAATTGTATATGTGTATATATATACATAGTTACAAGACTGCATTGGCGTTTCGTCCCATGCACCTTGGTCCTCGAAGTTTTGTATACAGGCGCAATGGCAGGAAGGTCGAACAGACAATTTAGCGATAACTCTCTGTTGCCTTTTCCAGCATCGCCGTTACAAACATGTTCTTCGTTATCCATCCTCCATGATTATTTTCTCATTCTCGCCCTACCCTGCGAATTCTTCCCCATCCTCAGCTCTTTTTGCGGAGGCTCCTCCTTGGAGAGCTTCTGGGAACCTCACGGAAGTTATTCAGGCTTTCCTCAGGCTTTCTAGAGGCCTCTTGGGCGTCTTCTGCGGGCCTCTGGGGGCTTCCTCGGGCCACCCTGCCTCCAACCGCGATCTCCCTGAACGACCGGGTCACTATTTGGATTGAAATGTTTCGGAGGGCGTCTTGGAGCCACCTTGGGCCGTCATGGGGCTTTCTTAGGCCGTCTTGGAACCCTGTTGTGCCGTCTTGGGGCTCTCTTGAACTGCTTGGAAGCCCTTTCGGATGGTTTTGGGACGATTTTCGAGCCTCCCAGGTGGTCCCGGACGCCCAGGAGACACAAGAACAGGGCATTCCCCAAATCATGCAGAACTTTTGGAAAATGCATGTTTTTCTGCGTTTGGAAGCTTCTTGTCGGGCGTCTGGTGGGTGCCTGGGGCTTCTTGGGCCCCTCGGGAGGGCGTTCGGCCGCCCTCCTGACCGATTTGGGACCGCTGCCCGGGCCCGGCAAGGGCTTCCAGGAGCTCTGAAACGCTTGGGGGGATTCCTGCAGGGGCGTCCAGGGTGTCCCCAGGGCCACGGATCCGGGGGTCCAGATGGTCCTGGGGGCCCGGGATTCGGGGGGTCCGATTTCGGGGGGGGAGTCCCGGGTAATACGACTATATGGGTGAGGATATATTTAAATTATATATATATTATATATATATATATATATACACTGAGAGAGAGAGAGAGAGAGAAAAAAAAAAAAAAGAAGAGAGAGCGTGATCCACCGCCGCTTTACTGTGGAAAATTCCCCCCCCCTCTTCCTCCGGAACCCAGAGGTCCCCCCCCCCCTCCGAAAATCCCCCCCTGCTGGAAACCCCCCCCTCCTCTCGGCAACCCCCCCCCTCTAATCCCCTCCCCCCCCTCGAAAACCTGGGGGGGTCACGACCGGTTCGAACCCCGCCCCCCCCCTCCGGAAAACCAAGGGGGGTCACTACCGGTCAAACCCCCCCCCTAAACCAAACCCCCCCCCAGAAAACCAGAGCGGTCACTACTGATTTGAACCGCCCCCCCGTCCGGAAAACCGAGGGGGGTCTCTACCGGTTCGAACCCCCCCCCCTCCGGGTGGGGGTCATTGGGGGTTCCTAAATCGGGGGGCGTCACTACCGGTTCGAACCCCCCTCCCCACCCACGCTCACCGCCAGCAAACAACTCTGGGTCCCTACCACCGTCCGCGCCACATCCCCCGCTGCTGTCCCCAGCACCAATGTCCTCACCACCACTGTCCCCACTGTTCCCACCACCGTCACCACTGTCCTCACCAGTGCCCCCACCACTGTCGCACTGTCCCCACTGTCCCCACCACTTTTCCCACCACTGTTCCACTACCCACTTTCTCCACGGCCCCAACCACTGTCCCACTGTCCCCACTGTCCCACTGTCCCACTGTCCCCGCCGCTGTCCCCGCCGCTGTCCCACTGAGCTGTCCCACTGTTCCCACCACTGCCCCCACTGTCCCTACCACTGTCCCTACTGTACCTCTGTCCCATTATCCCACCGCCGTCCTCGCCACCGCCCTCACCACTGTCGCCACCACCACTGTACCCTCCATTGTCCCACTGTTTCCACCACATTCCCACTGTCCCCACACCACTGTCCCCACCACCACCGTCCCCACCACTGTCCCCACTGCTCCCACCATTGTCCCCGCTGTCCCCATCAGTGCCCCCACCAGTGTCTCACTGTCCCCACTCTCCCCGCCATTGTCCCACCACAATCTCACTTTCCCCACGGTCCCCACCACTGTCCCACTGTCCCCACTGTTCCCACCACTGTCCCACTGTCCCCGCCGCTGTCCCACTGTGCTGTTCCACCGTCCCCACTGTCCCCATCACTGTCCCACTGTCCCCACTGTCCCCACCACTTTCCCCACTGTACTACTTACTGTCCCACCACTGTCCTCACCACCGCCTTCACCACTGTCCCCACCACTACCGTCCACACCATTGTCCCACTGTCCCCACCATTGTCCCGCTGTCCCCTCACCACTGTCCCCACCACCACCGTCCCCACCACTAACCGCACCACTGTCCCACTGTCCCCGCACCACTGTCCCCACCACCACCGTTCCCACCACTGTCCCAACATCACCACCATTCTCCAACTGTCCCGAGGAGCGGGCATCGTTTGCCGGCGGCGAGGGGGGGGGGTTCGAACCGGTAGTGACCCCCCCCGGTTTTCGAGGGGGGGGGGGGTTAGAACCGGTAGTGACCCCCCCCCTTTTTCATGATGGATTGGGAGGGGGGGTCGAACCGGTAGTGACACCCCCCGGTTTTCCGGAGGGGGGGGTGACGTGTTAGGAACCCCCAGTGACCCCCCCCCCGGTTTTCCGCCAGCAGCGGTAGAACACGCTCTTCCCAATACACACAATACATGTGTGTTTATATATATATATATATATATATATAGCTGTATTGATACCACGAGCACCTAAAAACACAGAAGTACATATATGAATACCTAATATATACTATACCTATACAGTAGCTGTACTAATACCATGAGTGCTAGACCTTCGTCCCGCTGGGGGCCGCTGAGGCCCGAGCGCGCCTGAAGGGCCCAAGACGACTCCTGATGGCTTCAAGAGGGCCCCAAGCTGGGCCAAGAGGGTTACAAGACGCCCACGAAGGCCACAAGACAGTCCCAGAGGCCCCCTTTTCGTTCCAAGACACCCCAAGAGGCCTCCCAAGGGAGCCCCAAGATGCCAAATTTACAAAAGTCCCTTGTAAGATGCACATTTTTAGCATCAACAATTTCTCGCCTTCCCGACGGTCCAAGACGGCCCCCAGATCGCCCCAAGACGGCCCCAGAGATATTCAAGAGGACCCCCGCGACGGTCCAAGAGGGTCCCAAGACGGCCCAGGAGGCGCCCAAGGGGGCCCCAAAACGGCCCCCAAGAAGCACCAAGAACCCACACAGAGGCCTCCAACGGGCCCCAGCTTCCCAAGAGGCCCAATCAGACACCAAGAGACGCCACGACAACCCCCAAGACACCCTAAGAGGCCTCCAAAGGGAGCCCCAAGAGGCCCAAATCGCCAAATTCCGTATGAAACGTACGTGTTCAACATCAACAATTGCTCGTTTTCCCGACGCTCCAAGACGGCCCAAGACGCTTCCCAGATTGCCCCAAGACGGCCCAAGAGGCACTCAAGGGGCCCCCACGACGGCCCAAGAGGGCCCCAAGACGGCCCAAGAGGCGCCCAAGACGGCCCAAGGGGGCCCCAAAACTGCACCCGAGAGGCACCAAGGACCCCCACAGAGGCCTCCAACAGGCCCCAGCTCCCCCAGAGGCCCACACAAGACCGCAAGAGACGCCCAAACAGCCCCCAAGAGGGGTCAAAACTGCTTCCGAAAAGCACCCTGCAAGCCGCTTGGGCCCCCTGGATTAGTACGGCGAAGGTCAGAGAATCTCTCTCTCTCTCTCTCTCTCTCTCTCTCTATATATATATACACACACCTATACGACCACCCTTCGGGTGATAAGGAGGTTGTGGGGGGGGGGAAAGGGGGGGGAACCAACATCTGACTCAATCGATCTCACCATCGATCTCACTCAACGAGACACCACGGGACACCACGGGACACTTGTCGATCTCACTATCGATCTCATTATCGATCTCACTCAACGGGCCGCCACGGGACACCTCTCGATCTCACTATTGGTCTCACTATCAGTCTCATCCAACGGGACACCACGGGACACTTTGGGACACCACATCGATCTCACTATCGATCTCACTCAACGGGACGCCACGGGACACCGAGGGACACCTTGGTGCACCACATCGATCTGAGTATCAATCTCACTATCGATCTCACTATCGATCTCAGTCAACGGGACACCACGGGACACCTGTCGATCTCACTGTCGATCTCACTATCGGTCTCACTCAACGGGACACCACGGGACACCTCGGGACACCACATCGATCTCACTATCGATCTCACTCAACGGGACACCACGGGACACCGAGGGACACCTCGGTGCACCACATCGATCTGAGTATCGATTTCACTATGGATCTCATTATCGGCATCGATCTCACTATCGGTCTCACTATCGATCTCACTCAACGGGACACCATAGGAAACCACGGGACACCACGGGACACCTGTCGATCTCACTGTCGAACTCACTATCGATCTCACTTTTTGGGACACCACGGGACACCACAGGACACCTCAGGGCACCACATCGATCTCAATATCGATACCAGGACGCCTGGGACACCCGGAACACCCGGGACGCCGCCCGACCCAACCGGCCACCGGCGGACGGGAAAACGCCCAGGACACCTGGGACACCCGGGACTCCGCCCGGCCCAACCGGCCACCAGCTGCTGGGCACCTGGACTTTCGCTCCTACTTCGGCCTAGCTACAGGAGGATCACGCGCAGCTTCGCCTCACCCGCACGCACGACACGAACACGAAACCGAAACCGACTTCCGGGGGGGGGGGTCCGTTTCACTGCGATCTCGCCCCCCAACCTCCGATAGAGAGAGAACAACTAAAGAAAAACATAGAGATGGAGAGAAGGAGAGAGCGAAAGAGAGGGAGAGGGAGAGACCCCCCCACCCCGCGGCGCCCCCTCAGCGGCAGCCCTCCCCGAAGCGCTCCGCGGCGGCCTGGATCGCCAGCCGCAGCCGGAGCCGCAGCCGCAGCCCGCAGCGGGGCGAGGGCGCGGCCGCCGCGGGGGCGGGGCGGGGCGGGGCGCCGCGCGCCGCTCGCTGCCCTCGGCGGCGGCCCTCGGCGGCTCTCGGCCTGCCGACTCGCTTACGACGGCGACGACGACGACGACGACGACGACGACGACGACGACGACGGCGACGACGACGACGACGACGACGACGACGACGACGACGACGACGACGACGACGACGGCGGCGGCGACGACGACGACGGCGACGACGACGACGACGGCGACGATCAGGCGTCGAGGAGTCGAGCGTCGGGGGTCGAGGTTTTGCACGGTGGTCCCCTGCGGGGCCTCGGGAGGCTCCCCGAAGCCTCCAGGGACCTCTGGAGCGACCCCAAAGGGTTCACGACAGCTTCAGCTCTGGAGGAGGAAAGACGCACAGACACAATGAATCGGCGATTCCCAGAAAATAGGGGAAAAGATGGGAAGTGGGGGGAAGGCAAAAACCCAGAAAATATGGGAAATTATGGGGGATATTTTTATTTGTGTGTATTTATTTGTGTGTCCCAGTTCCCCTTCATTTAGCTCTGGAGGAGTAGGTACACTGATGTTCTTCGTGTTCGGGCGTTCCGCCTCGGAACGTTCATCGTTCTGGGCATCTCCGTGGGGCCTCGGGCCTCGGCGAAGGGGCTCACGTGTTTGACCCACGTTCTCGTGGCTACGGTTCGGCTGTCACGAAGCCACCCTCAGAAGTCGAAGGCGGGCCCCGTGGTCTTCGCTGCTCTATCGCACTCTCGACATGCACACTCGAGCGGCGCACGTGGCGCAGTGGGTGCCGAGCGGCCCACAGATGTGGACGGTCGAAGTCAGCCTGACGTACGAGGGTGCGAAGTTAGTCGCGCTTCGCTGTCCTCACGATTTCAGACCGAGGCACAAGGCGCGAAAGCGCTAAGAGAATCGCGTGTCGCGGAGCGCGAAGCGCGACGATAGTTGTCCTACATCCTTCCTCGGAATCAAACGCAAGTTTTTCCCACGATATGGCGAAGCCCCCAGGCCCCCAACGTCCATGTTGACGCCGACACTGGCGACTGCAATTGTTTGGTTGACCCCGCGGGCCGCGCTGCGCGCGTCCATCAACGTTGAACTTCGGGGGCGAGGGGGGCCGGATCAAAACTTGCGTTTGATTTCGAGGAGGGCCGCAGGATAGGAGGAGGAGGGGGGGGGAGGATGAGGAGGAGGAGGAGGAGGAGGAGGAGGAGGAGGAGGAGGGAGGAGCAGGAGGAGCAGGATGAGGAGGAGGAGGAGGAGGAGGAGGAGGAGGAGGAGGAGGAGGAGGAGGAGAATGGTCTCCCTCTGGATCGAGGCTCGACGACCCGGGCCCGGAATCTCTCTGCGCTCGGCGGCTTCTTGTATCGAGGGCCTCCGGGGGGGAGGCCTCTCGCCGCCGCGGCCTGGCCGCGTTCCTCTCGGAGCGTGCTGGCATCGGAGGGCCGTCCGAAGGCCGGTTTCGAGGAGGGAGGGCTCCCTCCCTGTGTATCGCTCGCTCTGTCTCGCTCTGCCCCTCTCTATTGCTCTCACTCGCTTTCGCTCTCTCGCTCCCTCCCTCTCCATCTCTCTTTCGGGGGGGGGGGGGGGGGGGGGGAGGAGGAGGAGGAGGAGGAGGAGGAGGAGGAGGAGGAGGAGGAGGAGGAGGAGGAGGAGGAGAGCGGAAAAGGAGGGGAGAGGGGAGGAGGATGAGGAGCAAGAGGGTGAGGACGAGGACGAGCATGAGAAAGAGGAGGAGGAGGAGGATGAGGAGGAGGAGGAGGAGGAGGAGGAGGAGGAGAAACAAGATGGGGACCATAGTAAACCCAGGATGCGTCAACTGTGCTGCAACACACCCTCCCGCGGGTGCTATCCTGATAAGCACCTACAGGTGCTCCGTTTCACTGCGGAACGCGCCGCCCTTGAATGACGAGCGTCCAGTGGGCCTGCCGCTCAAGCGAGAGCCCGTCGTGTCAGGATTCACCCTGCATCTTTCGATCGAGCTAGCAGAAATGGAGCTAAGACAAGAAAGTGTCGAGCGAAATCTCCGTTTAGAAAAGAAGCTGCCCTCCCCATTCGCGCAGGGGTTGCAGCATGCCATGACACGGCACGGTTCTGGACACAAAGTGTGCGAGCGGCTCAAGCAGGAGCCCCAGTTTGGAAATGAGCTCGCCATCCATCCGAGCAGTTGCTGCACAAGCCTCGAACTCTAGCTCACAGCACGCGAGGAAGTCTCCAGCGGGAGCTGCACTTCAAGACGAATCGCCCTGCACGCCGGTGTTCTTTGCGTTCAGCGCGAAAGTGCGCGGCGCGACGGCGACGAACACACCAGGGTGGCAGGTCGCATGGAGGTCTCAAGCGATTCGCCGGGCCTGGTCTCCGGACACGGCTGGTGGTGCGACGCGGGGCGACGTCACTGATGAGGAAGGAGGGACGGCGAAGGTGGAGGAGGACGGAGGCGGGAGGAGGGAGGAGATAGGAGGGTGGAGGAAGAAGAAAGGAGGGAGGGAGCGAGGGAGGAGGGTAGAGGGAGGAGGGAGGCGGGAGGGTGGAGAAAGAAGGGTGGAGGAAGGAGGAAGGAGGAAGGAGGAAGAAGGAAGAAGGAAGAAGGAAGAAGGGATGAAGCAGGAGGAGGGAAGGAGGAGCAAGGAGGGAAGAGGGTGGAGGGAGGAGGGAGGAAGGAGGAAGGATAACGATGGAAGGAGGAAGGGGGAAGGAGGAAGGAGGTAGGAGGGAGGTGGAGGAGGAGGAGGAGAAAGAAGGATGGGGAGGAGGAAGAGGGGGAGAAGGAGAAGGCGGAGGAGGAGGAGAAGGAGCAGGCGGAGGAGGGAGCAGGGAGGAAGGAGGAGGGAGGAAGGAGGAGGGAGGAGGTAGCAGGGAGGAGGGAGGAGCTTTTTCCCTCTCATCCCTCTCCCAGCGCCGCTGAATTCACTACAGGTTTACGGGGTGAGGGGCTGGCCACGGTCCTTCTGTGCTTCGTTGCCCCTTCCCCACTTGGTGTGGTTCCCAGATCGTCTGTCAGGATTGGAATCGGTTGCCCCCTCCCTCCCCCTTTGATCCCTCGGGCCCCCACCACCATACCCACCCGCATTCCCAACTGATCCCCTCCCATATGCGTCCTCCTCCCACACCCCCTCTTCCCATCTGTCGCTGCCCCCCCCCTTCTCCCCCCTATGCCCCCCCACCCCTCCCTCCACCCCTCCCTCCATCCCTCCCCCCACCACCCCTTCCACCATACTTCTTCCTGACGGACTCTCCCTTTAGCACCACAAGACGTGGCCGTAGGCAGGGCCAGACGTTTCGCTTTGCATTTTGCTCTACTGTCGTTTGGCGTTGGGTCTCCATTTTGAAGAGACACCGCCCCGCGTCTCCTCCTTCATCCTCCCCCTCCTCCCTCCTCCCGTCAGCCCCCTCAATCTGGCATTCCCCTCGCACGCTTCGTGGCCCCATCGGGAGCTGCACCGAGAGTCCCAGTGGCACAGTCCACATGCGGTTCCTGCGTCCAGTGCAGCGCTTCGTGGCCACATAGGGAGTCCCACCGAAGGTCCCAGTCGCGCAGTCCGCATGCGGCTCCTGCTTCGTGACCCGATAGGGAGGGAGCTCCACCGAGGGTCCCAGTGGCGCAGTCCGCATGCAGTTCTTGCGCCTAGTACAACGCTCCGTGTCCTCATGGGGAGCTCCACCGAAGGTCCCAGTGGCGCAGCCCGCATGCGGCCCCTGCGCCCAGTGCAGCTTTTCGTGGCCACGCAGGGAGCTCCAACGAACGTCCCAGTGGCACAGTCCGCATGTGGTTCCTGCGCCAAGTGCGGTGTTTCGTGGCCGCATAGGGAGCTCGGGAATAAGACCGAACACAACCACTTCGGACTGTTCAGGAACTACTTCGGTCGGATGGCAACCACTGGAAACGGACTCCGATCCAAGAGCTCCTGCTGAGGCACCTGAAGGCTACTCTGAGGCCTCTGGAAGGCTTCTCTGAGGCCTCTGAAGGGCTTCTCTGAGGCCTCTGAAAGGCTTCTCTGAGGCCTCTGCGAGGCTGGTCGGAGGCTTCTGAGAGGTTTGTGGGAGGCTTCTGAGAGGCTTGTGGGAGGCTTCTGAGAGGCTTGTGGGAGGCTTCTAAGAAGCTTGTGGGAGGCTTCTGAGAGGCTTCTGAGAGGCTTCTGGGAGGCTTCTGAGAGGCTTCTGAGAGGCTTATGCGAGGCTTCTGAGAGGCTTCTGAGAGGCTTCGGAGAGGCTTCTGAGAGGCTTCTGAGAGGCTTCTGAGAAGCTTCTGCGAGGCTTCTGAGAGGCTTCTGGGAGGCTTCTGAGAGGCTTCTGAGAGGCCTGCCCCGCAGGCCCCACAGGTCCCACAGGTCCTGCGTGTCGCACGAGCGCCAAAGGTCTCGCAGGCCGCGCAGGTCGCTCACGTCCCCCAGCCATGGTTCCCACAACCACCACAGGCCCAGACCGGCCTGGCGTCGTGACAACATCTGTTTTTGTTTTGGGCTCGCGGGGCTATCGCCGGGCCCACGGGCCGTCCAAAAGTGACTGCGTATGCAATGCTGGTCTACTGTAGGTTCATGCGGCGTTGGCGCGCCTGCGACGTTGGCGAAGGCGTTCAAGGCTGCATTTTGCGACGCGGAAGCGCCGAGGGACACGTTGGGCCCACTGTACCCGACGAAATTCAACATTGAACGATCGGGGCCGCGATCGATTCAAGGTTGAGCGATCCACGCGGTGCCAAAAGCCTTGCGGGTGCCGACGCCGTACGAACCTACCGTAGGGGAATTCGTCCAGACCTCTGGATGTCGACGTCCTGGAAAAGTCATGACGTTGGGGGTTGGGGCCGCCGCGTCTACCCGCCTTGCCATCCTGTCCTCTTCCGTTTCCCCCGCTCCCTCCTCCTGTTCCCCCTCCTCCGCTTCCTCCTCCTGCTCCTGTGATCGGACCGATCGCAACCGCTTTTTCAGATTCCCATTGGGCGGCTTAAGGGAACTCATTGAACCCAGAAGCGTTCTTTTGATTCTTCCTTAATTACCTTATTGAAACGACCCAAAAACATCGCAGCCACTTCGGACCGATCGCAACTGGTTGCGATCGGTCCGAAGTGGTTTACGATCGGTCCGAAGTGGTTGCGATCGGTCGTGCTCGCTAGGGAGTTCCACCGAAGGTCCCAGTGGCGCAGTCCGCATGCGATTCCTGCACCAGTGTTCCGTGGCTTCATGGGGAGTTCCACGGAAGGCCCCAGTGGCGCAGTCCGCATGCAGGTTTTGCTCCCAGTACAGCGCTTCGTGGCCCCATAGGGATTTCCACCAAAGGTCCCAGTGGCGCAGGCCGCATGCGGTTCCTGCGCCGAGTACACCGTTTGGTGGCCCCATAGGGAGCTCCACCGAGGGTCCCAGTGGCGCAGTCCGCGTGCGGTTCCTGCGCCCATTGCAGCGTTTCGTGGCCCCATAGGGAGCTCCACCGAAGGTGCATCGCTTCGCAGCCCCGTAAGGAGCTCCACCGAAGGCCCCAGTGGCGCAGTCCGCATGCGGTTCCTGCGCCCAGTGCGGTGTTCCGTGGCCTCGTCGGGATCCCCACCGAAGGCCCCAATGGTACCGCACGCATGCGGCACCCCCACCCAGTACAGCGTTTCGTGGCCCCGTAAGGAGCTCCACCGTAAATCCGAGGGGCGGAACTCGCATGCGGTTTTTGCGCCCAGTGCGGTGTCTCGTGGCCCCGTAAGGAGTTCCACCGACGGTCCCAGTGGCGGAATCCGCATGCGCTTCCCCCGCCCAGTACAGCGCGTCGTGGCCCCATAGGGAACTCCACCGAAGGCCCCGGTGGCGGTCCCGCCCTATTGCGGCGCAACCCTTCGCACGTTTTGCGGCCCGTAGTGCGTTCCGCCTAAAGCACCAGTGGCAGCGCCCACATGGCGGCCCCGCCCCACATTGGCACACCCTTCACATGCTTCATGGCCCCATGAGGAGATCCCCCGACGGCGATACCCGAAACGACGGCACTCACAACTGCACATGGTTGGGTCCTTCGCCAGGATATCCTACAGTTCACTACCTTGCAGCGAACAAGAACTCAAACTCAACAAAGCGCACACATCCGCTTTGTCCCCAAACCCGCTTGCATTGGGCTCTCGTTTTGGATCGTGCGCTGCGGCCTCCAACCTGCTCCTGCGTCCCGCCTCCTTCTGCCTCCCTTTCTCGTGCCTCCCCTGTACCTCGCCCTCCCTGGGCGCTGCGCCTCCCTCTTCCCGGCCCCCCTTTTGCCGAGCCCCCTGGGTGCTGCGAGCTGCGAAGCGGTCGCTACTTTCGTGGGCCTCCTGGAGGTCCAGCGGAGTGGTGCCCCTCACAGACCCAAGCGGGCCCTCGCCCTCTCTGGGGGGCTGCGAGCTGAGAAGTTGTCGCCACTGCCGTGGGCCACGGGCCCGCCTCCCGTGTAGCTTTCACACAACTCATTGCGCTCCTTGCCATGTCGTCACCCGTATCGAGTTGGCCAACTGTTCAGGTCATATGTTGCAGATGGGTTGGGCACGTCGCAGGGTAAAAGTTTTCATCAAACACGCACACAGCGCGCGCACTCGTTGGAAGAAATCCAACAGCCACACAGATGGAGGGCTGGTCGTTTTCAAAACGCGGCTGTCGGTCTGGCGCCGCGAACCTGTTGAACAAACGTGAATTCGCTACCCGGATGGATGGCTTGCGGCGTTCAACATCTTATCGTCGCGTTAGTTTCGTGCACATTCGTCTTAAGCTTGCAGCAGTCACAAGGATGAGAACAGGTTCGTGTTCAAACTGTTGTTCTCGTTTGAGGTTTCTTCAGTTGTAATGATCCTGAGTTCCACATCGCGCAGTAATTGCATGGATGGAAGGCTGCTCTTCTTCAAACTGGGGCCTTCGTTTGAGTTGTCCGCGACCTGTTTGGCCGAAATTTTGACATCGTGCAACCGTTACACGGATGCAGGTCGGACTCATTTCAAAACGGATTTGTCGGTGGACGCTTCTTTGAGCTTGATCGTCCTCCCTGTTTGCGCTTCCTTAATCTAGAAGGATGGAGGCTGGATCCCTGACGAAACAGGGTTTCGTCTGGGGGGCATGTCCACTGGGCGCTCCTCTTGATGATCTTATCTTGTCGCATTCTGATCCTCTAGAAGGATGCAAGGCACTTCCGCTTCAAAACGAGACGCCTACCTGAATGGCAAGCCCACGGGGTGTTCGTCTTTCAAGAGGGGCGGCTCTTGTAGTGACAAAGGTGACTAGTAGGGACCCGTGAGGAGGGAATCTGGGACGGGAGGGTCAAGCATTTTTGGCACATCCTGGCTGGCAGCTGCAGGAGTAAGATGATGGAGGGTTTGCCCCATCCTTCTAATTCGTTCTCCTTTACCTGCGGGCACGCTGGCTTGGAAAGTGTGCCCGCTCTTCATTTCATGTCCCCTCCCCCTTTCTCCCTCCTTTCTCCCTCCTTTCTCCCTCCCTCCCCCTCCTCCTCCTCCTCCTACTCTTTCTCCCTCGCTCCGTCGTCCTCCTCTCTCCCTTCTCCCCCTCCTCCGTCCTCCCTCCTCCTCCCTCCTCTCTGACGACGACCACGGCCTCGACTACGACGAAGTCCCACCGCGAGGGGCCGGGAGCGGAGGGCGCCGCCGCCGCCACCCCGCGCGGTGACGCCCCCGACGTGCGCACCACCGACGTGCGCGGCCTGTCCGGGACCGGGCGCGGGGTGGGTGGGCCCGCGAGTTTCCCTCTCTTTCTCCCTCGCTCACCTCTCCTCGTCCTCCTCCTCCTCCTGCTCGTGTGGCTGTGGTTTCGCTTACTCCTCTCCTCATTGTCCTCCTCTTTCTTCCTCCTCCTCCTCCTTCTCCTTCTCCGCCTCCTCCTCATCCAGTACCTCTGTCCTCCTTTTCCTCGTCCTCATCATCAGCATCATCATCATCATCGTCATCATCGTTATCATCATCAGCATCCTCTTCCTCACTCTCGTCCATTCTCCTCCTCGCTCTTCCTTCCCTGATCTATCACTCGAACGGTAGCTCACCTGTCCCTTCTCACCTTTGCTTGTTGTAATGGTCTCCCCCTTCCGCTGCTGTTTTGATCCGGGGGCACGGAAACTGGCCAAGCTTCTGTGCCCGCCGTAGACGTGCCTTATACACTCAGCCGTAGACAATGTTACGCGGTTCTTCCCTGCGGAAAACATCGTCTCCCTTCTTACATCCTCATCTCTATTTAGTAGCAAAGCAGGTTCACCCCTGCTCCCAACACGGCCGCCATATCTCGCCTCCGGTCGACCGCGATAGCTGTCACCCTCCGCCGTATTCGGCTTCGGTGAGTCGCCTTCAACATATACACCTTCGTGTATTTCCTCCCCTTCGCTCTGGCAAGGGACGCTACTTTCGGGTCCGTCCGGGTATCCGCCCATCCGCGGGGACCAGTGACCGAGAACGTGCACCGCCAATTCCCCGTCAAGGATAACATCCCCAAGATCTACAAGGACCGCTCTGCGAACCATCCCAGGCATGCTCGGACTGCGCCCAGGCAGCTCGAGGACCCCAACTTGTCGGTGCCCCCACCCGTGGGGGTAGCCTCAGGTGTGAAACAGATGCTTGACACAACGTCCACAGATGCGGAATCATAACAAGGTCCTCAGTTTCTTGGGACTGTGTCTCGGGAACATTGGGAGAAGCAGGCAGACAAAAGGCATCCGGCGACTGCGTCGCCGGCGCTGTGCCGGGATGCAGTGGGGAGCATGGGAATAACGTTCCCAACTATTGAGGTAGGCAGCGGAGGGCATGGCGATTGGGACGCCATTATTCCGAGGCACCACAACTCGGGACCCGACATTTCTCTTTACCTATTGCGAAGGCCTGACGGGCGGTGCCGCCGACCCTGTTCGCAATGCGCAGCAAGAGGCACGGGTTGTGGGATGGTTTTGGGGAACGGGGAGAAGGACGAGAAGGTGGGGGAGGGAGGTGTCGTATCTGACCCGGGACTTCCCCGGGACTCCCCCGGGACCCCCCCCGGGACCCCCTCTCCCTCCCCCGGCGGGGAAGGGAAAGGGAAGGGGCTTCCCTTCGACTCAATTACGACGTTGCTCAAGGTCGGTACGGGGGGGGGGCGTCGTATCTGACCTGGGGGGGGGGTCGCTACCGCCCCCCGCTACCCCCCCCTCGCCTCCCGGCGGGGGAGGGATCAAAGGGAAGGGGCTTCCCTTCGACTCAATTACGAGGTTGCTCAAGGTCGGCTTGGCTGGAGCCCAGGGGAAGAGGAGTCCCAGGGGGGGGCGTCGTATCTGACCCGGGGGGGGGTCGGTACCCCCCCCCCCCCCCCCGGCGGGGGAGGGATCAAAGGGAAGGGGCTTCCCTTCGACTCAATTACGAGGTTGCTCAAGGTCGGCTTGGCTGGAGCCCAGGGGAAGAGGAGTCCCAGGGGGGGGCGTCGTATCTGACCCGGGGGGGGGGTCGCACCCCCCCCCCCCTCCCGGCGGGGGAGGGATCAAAGGGAAGGGGCTTCCCTTCGACTCAATTACGAGGTTGCTCAAGGTCGGCTTGGCTGGAGCCCAGGGGAAGAGGAGTCCCAGGGATTGACCTTTTCCCTTCGACTCAATTACGAGGTTGCTCAAGGTCGGCTTGGCTGGAGCCCAGGGGAAGAGGAGTCCCAGGGGGGGGCGTCGTATCTGACCCGGGGGGGGGTCGCTACCCCCCCCCTCCCGGCGGGGGAGGGATCAAAGGGAAGGGGCTTCCCTTCGACTCAATTACGAGGTTGCTCAAGGTCGGCTTGGCTGGAGCCCAGGGGAAGAGGTCTCCCAGGGAAAGGGAAGGACAGAGACGACGAGTACAAAGAATGACGGAGATGACGGCTCGAACGGAAAAGCCCCTCACACACGCCGACAGGGTCGGTGGATTGAAGCCCGCCAACAGGGCAGGACGGGATCCCGACGCGCACTCTTCCTGGACGATCGTGCAATTGACGACGTACGACGAGCATTCTTGTGACTGTGTCGCGGGATGCTCAGAGTACCTTAAGCATTACAGTGACACGACAGAAGCAAACGCCAAATGCGTCGCCGCGGAGGAACGCATCTGGGGCAAGTACCTCGGCGACTCATGCCGCTCCGCTTGAGGATCCCAAGTCCCCATGCGACATGCGAAGGGAGCTACACTCCTCTGGATGGAAAGCCATGGTAGTCGGCACGTGTACCATCGCAAGTTGCACCGCTCGCATGGGCGCAGGTGATGGCAGCGGCAACATGCGCCACCTCCGCACCTGAGGGCCCGAGCACCAGGCTCGCGTGCCTTTCCAGAAATGAGCGCGCGAGGTGATGATCTGGTTAGTGGCGAACTCAGACCTCAGCGAGTTTCGCCAGGCCGCCCACATCTCGTCGCGCCTTGCCGGCATGGCGCGCGAGTGCGTGGACGAATAGCCGCCAGCTGTCCTTACCCAGGGAGGCCTCATCAACGGCGACCCAGTGCCACCGATTACTTTCCTTACGCACAGGTTGGCCGAACGATGGGGCCAGCTGGGCGAGGAGGAGCGCACCTCGGCAGCATCGGCTCTGATGGACCTCAACCGACTGCCGCGAGAGCGCATCGACAGCCTCCTAAACAGGTTCGACATCCTCCGCAGACGGGCGCATCAAGCTGGTCAATTCATGATCGGCTACGAAGAACTCAGCTGCCTCCTGATGCGCGCCGCTCGCGTGTTGAACACTCAACTCACCGTGCTCCTACAGCACTACAACATGTCCAACCCCACGAACGCTCAGCATCTCGCACCTAGAACGGGCCAGCTGAGACGTTTTGGGCACATGATAGAGGGGTCGCCAGGCAACCTCGCCTCGGCGGTCCACTCTTCGCAACAGCGCACGTTCCTCACGGGCACGCCTGCGCAGGAGCAAAGCCGGGTCGGCATGGGCCCTGCCGCACTGGGACGGGCACCAAGCCCCTTTGTACCAGCCGAGGCCGCGTCTGGAGGCTGCGCCTCTAGCGCGGCACCACTGGCACAGGGGGCGCACCCAGCAGCAGAGATCGACGCAGGCACCGCCGCCGACGCCGCCGAATCACCCGGCGAGGAAAGAGCCGCCGATGACCCCGAGCTACGCGACACTCCTGCGGAACAACGTGGCGCGCACCTCCTTTGGGCTCACGCGCGCGCCAAAACACGCCAGCGCAGCTTCAACAACCGCGAGCCCGCGCGCCGCGCCCAGAGGGCCATCGAACGGAAGGGCAAGGGCAAAGGTATAGGCAAACGCGCTTTCCGAGCCACCTTGTCCAGGAACGACTTCCGGGAAACCTTCGCGGGTTCCGGGAAGGGCGAAGGTGGGGGAAAGGGAAGCTCAGGACCACGGGCATGGGTTCGGGCCGCCAAGGCACCCCCATGGGCCCTGACGGGGCGCGTCTCAATTGCCGCGGGTGCGACCCCGAGGAACATCCCGCGTGCGATTGCCCAGCGCCGCCAGCAAGAGCTCGCTCTCTTCCTCGACGCCTGCGCCCCGGCGCCACCATCAGCGCCGTCATCCTCGCCACTTGCTGGGGTAGCAAGGGCCATTTTGACCGACCGAGCAGCGGGCATCTTGGGGGCATATTGGGGCCTCTCGGGACCTCCCGGGCACCTGTCGGGGCCGTCTCGGGTCGCCCTCGGGAGCCTCGTGGGCCATCTTGGGAGAGATTGATCAAAGGAGGGGGGCCCTTCACTCAGCCCCCACCCCACCCCATTAGGCCCCAGAGTGTAGCCAAAACCTTCGCGGCGCGCCTTCTCGCCGAGCCCTGTTGGGGCGTTCTGTATGCATCTGAAGGAATTCTCGGGGGCAACTTGGGGGCGTCGGTGGTTTCCTGGGGGCCTCCTGAGGCGTCCTGGGCATCTCTCGGGTCCGTTTTGGGGCGCTTTCAGGAGCCTCTGGAGGGGACCTACTCTGAGCCCCCCCCCAGGAGACCAAAATGTGGCCAAAACCTTCGTGGCCCGAGTGACGTTGGCCTTCTCGCCAAAGCCTCCGGGGGCGTCGTGGGCGCCTCTGAGGGGCTTCTCGGAGGTCTCTCGGGGGCGCATCGGGGGCATATTGGGGGCATTTCGGGGGCGTCCTGGGAGCCTCTCGGGAGTTCCTTGGCGCCTCCTGGGCACCTCTTGGGACCCTCCTGGGGCGCCCTCGGAGGCCATCTTGAGGCCATCTTGAAGGAGATCGATCAAAAGAGGGGGGGCCCCTTAGTCAGGCTCCCCCCAGGCGCCAACATGTGGCCAAAACCATAGTGGCAGAGAAAAAAAGAAAAGAGTTTGGCCTTCTCGAGGCCTCTTGGGGCGTCGCGGGCACCTTCGCTGGGCCTCTTGGGGGCATCCTGGGGGCATATTGGGGTTTCCTGGGCTCCTCTTGGGGCACCCGCGGAGCCTCGGGGGCATCTCGGGACCATCCTGGAGGAGATCGATCAAATGAGGGGGGCTCCTTAATCAGCCCCCCCCCAGGAGGCCAACATGTGGCCAACGCGTTCGTGCGCCCCGCCAGGAATCTTGAAACATCTTCTTAGCGAAGCACCCAGCCATACGCAGTTGCGAGTACCTTCGTTTCGGGCACCGTCGTCGGGGGATCTCCTCATGGGGCCATGAAACATGCGCAGGGCGTGCCGGTGTGGCGCGGGGCCGCCATGTGGGCGCTGCCACTGGTGCTTTAGGCGGAACGCAATACGGGGCCGCGGAAAGTGCGAGGGTTGCGCCGAAAGGAGGCG